AGTTATAACCAATGTTGGCAGCTTGACCCCTCTTCACTAAAACAGCCATATATGGAGCTTTAGAACTCCTTTTTGGGTGATTCCAGCGTCATTGGAAAGCTAACATCCAAGGCTAAAACTTCCATGAAGACCCTAAGACCAAATTCGGTCATATAGCCCCAGCGCTGCAGCGCTCAATCCAGCACTTTAGCTTCAACTCTCTGCCAGCTCAGTTTCCTTTCCACGGCCATGACTACAAGTTTATGTCACTCCAATTTTTATCCCATAGCCATGGCTGCAAATCTACAGCCATGACTGCAAGTCTCTGCTACTCCATTTTCCCTCCCACGGCTATGGCTGTGAATCCACGGCTATGGCTGTGAATCCACGGCTATAGCTGTGGGTTTCTACAAGCTCATTTTTCCTCCACGACTATAGCTGTGAATCCACGGCTATAGCTGTGAGTTTATGAACTTCCAAAATTCCATGAATTTCACCTTCATTTTCACTCACATCCTCCATGAACCTGCAATCCAAGGAGACCCAAACCATGCTACAACTCAAATGCACCACTACCAACCACATGCAACCCAAAAACATTAAGAATCACAACATGCATGCACCAAGATTCAAGAGATCATCAAGAACAGCTACAAGGTTTCAACTTTACCACATGCAACCAACCCATCTCAATTAATCAACTCCTAAATCACATCTTATATGAAGATCCAACTACATGTAAGCCAAAATATATGACAAATTCAAGTTCTAGCTTCCCTTACCTCAATCCCAACTCCATGAGGAAGAAGAAGGGAAGAATAAAGAAGAAGAAAAGAATGGAGGAAGAAAATCCTTCTCCACAGCCTAAGCTCCACCACTTCAACCTTGAGAAAGAAGACCACAACGAAAGAGCTTCAAGAAGAAATGCGAGGGAATGCGAAAGAAAAGGAAAATGAGAGAGGAAAAAGGAAAATGAAAGAGGGAGGAGAAGTTACGGGTCTTACAAGAGTGACTATGGTAGTATTCATACTCACACCTAGAGCCGTCAAAGTGGGCCGGGACCCGTGGGCCAACCCGACCCACCTTGAAAACGGGCCGGGCTGGGCCAAAAAAAATTAAGTTTTATAGTAGGTGGGCATATCTCAACCCGACCCACTTTGACCCGGCCCACCCCGCACCAACCCACCATTTTTTTTGCAATAAAAATTTAAGTATGATTTGTAGTTAATTTTGTATGATGGAATATTGAAAAATTTTATTTTAGACTTTTATCATGATTTGTATTTAATTTTGTATGATGAGTTATGACTTATGACTATTAATGATGCTAATTTTATAACTATTATGTTAATTTATAATTAATTTAAAATTTTGAATTTTGTTAATAATTTTTTTTAATTTTTGGTGGGCTGGTGGGCTGGCCCGTATAACCCACCAACCTGTGGTGGGCCGGGCCAGGCCAAATTTTAAAAAAAAAATCAAAAGTGAGCCGGGTTAGGTTGGCTCGTTTTTAAAGTGAGTCAAGGTGGGCCGGCCCACATGGACCGGGCTGGCCCGCTTTGACAGCTCTACTCACACCTACCCACTAAATACATTAACTTAAGTATTCACATGTTTATGTTGTGCTTTTTATATATTTTTTTACTATTTCAATAAAATTATCGTTGAATGTAAGTTAAAAAATTAATATCAATTATTTATCTTTAATATTTTAATAAAATTAATATTAAATACAAATTTAAATTTATTTGTAATACTTAAAAAAATTTAAAAAGCTCACAAATACCTATAAATTTCTACAAACATTTATAAAATTTGTGGGTATAAGATAACCTTTTATTTGATGGGATAGGAATAGATGCTCTATTACCTACCCTTCGAGACTCCATTAACATTCTTAATATGACATGTTTATTATTAAAATATTATGTTAATAATTAATGTGATATATTGATTATTAATACATATTTTATATATATATATAATTAGAAATATATTATGTTAATAGTTATTGTGTCATATTAATAATAAATGTATTATTTCATTAGTTAATTAATAATTTTACACAATTAGTTAATTAATAAGGTAATAAAATGTGTAAAATTTAAAAAGTTATATAAGAAAGTTCGGGAAAAAAAAGTAATGAAAAGTAAAAAATCAAGCCAACATTAAAAATTGAAGGGGTGAGTGAAGAGAGTTTATAATCTCAAAATTGACTGTTGTATTTTACAAATTAACATAATGTTTAATTTTTTCTTATGTAATTCTTAAAACTGTACATCAGCATTTTTCTGACAGATTTCTTTTTCGTCTAGTTGCGATAAACGGGTTTCTAGACTTACAACGTGTCACAATTTTAAGTTTTAGCTTTTCATTTGTTTGATAAGCATATCGTTTATTAAATTACGGTGAGTAATAGGACACTTTCTCTAACCACTTACTTATTAATATATTTTTTATTGATAATAATTTTTAAAAAATTATAAATTTTATATATTTTACATTTTATTTAATGAATCTTTTCTTATTTAGAAATAGGATTTATAAAAAAATGTAATTTTTAATCAGTAAAAAGAAAAGTATTAAAAAGAAAACGTTAGAGTGAAAGTCACTACCATTTATTTTTAAATTATTCACTAAAATGTTCATTGTATATATTTTTTCATCTTTAGAAAAATAAATAACTAAAGCTCAAACATAATTATAAATAATACGTAAAAAAATGATAATAAAAATAAAATAAAATATTTCATTAATATTATAAATAAATAAAATCTGAACTTATTTAGAATTATATATAATAAAAATTATACATATATTCATATGATATAATTAAATAAATGGTGTAAAAAAGTAGGGTTAAATATATTTTTAATGTTTATTTTCATGTTATATTCTTAAATCGATTTAATGATTAAGTAAAAGGCAAGTAATCATATTTGATTATATATTATTGTTTACAAAATCATATTAATTTGTTATATCCCTAAAAAACATTATAGTTCCATAAAATGAATATGATTTATCTTTTTGCAAATGAATATTAAGGGAGCAAAAATAGTTTTCAAATTTTGGAGGATGAAAATCAATAATTTATTTTTATCAGAATCAAAATTAAAATTAGTTTATTTTACACGAATTGGTAATAGTGATTTCAAAACTTAGAGGAGTGAAAAACAAAAAAAAATATAATTACAAGACTAAAAATAAATTTAAGTCTTAAATATTATTAGATTTAATTTATAAATTTTAAAATAATAATAAATAAAATGAAGAAAAAAATTAAAATTATTAAAGATTTATTTTTTTATATTATTAATAAAAAACACGACTTTTAAAATAATTATTATAAAGTCAATTTTAAAATAATCATTACAACCTCAGTCCTAATTAAATATCTTAGCTTCCTTAGGTTCATTTTTCTTAAAATGAGTCCTTTTAATTTTTATCTTAATATCCAGAGAGAGGTATGGATCGTGGAAATGTAAATATGTGAGGGGGTTAAAACTAGAAACCATAAAAAAATAAAAATAAAAATCGTAAGCAAAAAGTGTAGATGAAGAGATTGAGAAGGGAGTGAAAGTGAGAACTCCATTTGACTTTTCCGAGTCTGTTTTTTTCTTTTATACTATTTAATTTTATTTAAGTAACTTTTTTTAATGAATGATTTTAGTAGCCCTTATGGTGTGTTTGGATGAGGAATTTATATAAGGTAATTCATTTATTTGAAGAATTTCAAATTCTTTTAGGTGAAATGCTTTGTTTGGATGAGGAATTACAAAGAATTTGAAATCTAAGTATTTGTGAAATTCCTTAAAATAGTAGAATTTCAAATTCTCCCAAAAATGGAAGAATTTGAAATTTTTCATATTTATTTTTCTTATTTCACCTATATATTTTATCTTATCTCTTCATTCTTTTAATTATTAGATATTCAAAAATATTTTTAAAATTATTAAATATTATCTTATATTAATTTTTAAAATTATTAAATATTATCTAATATTAACTTTTAAAATTATTAAATATTTAAAAATGGATTAATATTTATTTTTATAAAATTTAATTTAAAAATCTCAACATATAAATATATTTTTAAAATCAATTTTACTATGGTGGAATAAAATTATCATATTAAACCTAACAATTTAAAATTTAAGAAATTTGAATTGACTCATCCAAACAAAATATTTTAAGAATGATAGAAATTGAAATCAAAGTAATTTAAATACAAAAAATTTAAAATTCCTTAAATTTGTAAAATTTCTCGTCCAAACACACTGTTAAGATGCTATTTGTACATATGCAGAGGGGGGCAATTGAATTATTTTTTGAAGTTGTTTGTTGAAGATAAAAGAGTAAATGTAGATCACAGAATGCAGTATTTAAATCATGTATAGACCACTAACTCATCGAATTGTATTTGTGCTTTTCAGGCTTTCATTTAGTAAGTTCAAACTTGTATTATACAAAACAAGTATACTTATGAAACTTTTTTGGAAGATCTCCTAGTTTATAAAAGGGGAACCAAGAATTTGGAGCATATTATTGTGATTTCTCTGCTTGTCTCCTACTTTTATTATCTATTTGCCTTGAATGTGGCATGCAATTATGGCCACATGCACTTTAAGTTTCATAACGCCGAGGAAATGCCACCACCCTTTGGTACTTGTTAGACCTTAAATCCACATAATACATACGTATAATAAAACAGAAACGAAGATGAATTAAAGAGTTATTTCGTAATGAGAAATATTTTGTAAAAATACAAAAACCAGCTTGTTTAATCTATTATGTTTAAGATTATATGATACCTTGCTGATCTTAAGCATTTGTAATGTATAATGAGAAAAAGGCATATAAAAAGTGACACGTACGAGAAGACAACTTTATTACGTATAATTCTGGTAATGCCTCATGCACCTATGCCCATTTTGATTGCTTAGCAGGGGCAGAGGTGGGAGAAGAGAGAAGAGAGTGTAGCAGTGTAGCAGAGAGAAATGAAAAATATAGAGAGGTAGTGAAGGAAAAAAGTGTGATTTTGTTGTTTAATAATGTAGAAAGAAAGCATAAAAGACAAGAGAGGGAGGGAATGAAAGAAAAGGGGAGAAGAAGGAAGAAAGAAAGGTGAAAGAAGAGCACTTTAACACCCACTAAAAATCATCAAAAATGTTAGGTGACAAGGCTAAGTGGGGTGCATTATCATGATCCTCCCAGTATCCCACTCTCCCAGTAACCCAACCTCTTGTACTTACCACCCACTTCTCCTATCTTTCTAAACAAGTCAATCCCACATTCATCACCCCTCACAACCAATAACATTCATCCACGTCACCACCCTCTAAAATTTTCAACTAACTCTAACTTCCTACCTATGATAATTAATACGCCACCGCCACAACGGCCTCCTCTCTTTTTAAACACTTTTCCGGCGAGCGCTGAACGTTTGAAAAACCACGCTGCCCGCGGCGGGGAACTGGTCCATCGCACGGCTCCGACATTTCAACCCGAGAGGCTCCACGGCGGTGGCCACCTGCGTCCACATGTCGTTGGTGTAACCGTTGCATGTGGTGGAAATGGACATGGTACCAGGACGGAAAATCTGCACCACCTTCCTCAACACGTGTCCCATGTTGTCGCTGACGGAGCCTACACACTCGAAGCTGGCGTAGCTGAAACCGTCCTCCGGAGTGACGTGGATGGTGGAGTACCAATCCCCGTCCATGCCATTCATCGAATACCCACACGGGTCGAACGCGAAGTCGCAGATGAGCGCCTCCGGGTTTATCTCGTTGATCCCCGTCACCTCCGTCATCTCCTTCCCGGCGGAGTCGCCGGATTTTCCGTCCTCCGCTCGCCGGAAGAATTTCCGGGCGAGGATGGGGTCCAGCTCCGTCATGCAGATCTCCATGGTGAATAACAACTCGTTGTCGTGATGATGATCATAAGGCACGTGCGAGGTGGCTGTGAACACGTGCCATGAGTGAGAGGAAGATTTGGAGGGCATGATGGAGGCTTTTCTGAAGCAGAGGTTTGGAGGGATGGTGTCCTGCAGGTAGGACACTTCGTCCTTGAAGCTTGTGTGAGGGAAAGGCTGTGCCTTGGGGAAGATGAAGCTTCCTCTTGTGTAGCGGCAAAAAGAGAGGGTGAGGCCTAAGTGGTGAGCGTAGTGGATCAAGGGAATAATGGATTTCAGAAGTTGGGTTGTGCCACAGGTTTTGATTATGATCTTTGTTGGGTAAACAAAGAGGCTTGATTCTGATAACACGTAGGCATCAAAGTAAGAGTTTCCAACGGCTGAAACCACAGTGCATTGGACAGCTTCCAGGACTTGTTCTAGTGATTCAAAATCAAGCTTTCTTAGACCAAGTGGGAACATGGCTGGATCATCGCCGAAGAAATGGAGCTCTAGTCGTTTCTCGAACCCTTCGAAGCCTGAGACAGCCATTTGGTTTTTTTATTTTTATGTGTGTGTGTTTGTGTTTGGGAGAAGGGGATGTAACAGAGGAAAAGGAAGTTTGAGATTGTGAGAGGAGAGATTTGAATAGGTTGAGGTGAGAGAAAGGATTGGGGGGTCAATGGGATTTATAGGTGTGTGCGAATCAGAATGAGAGTGTGTAGGATGTAGTAGTGAGAGTGTTTGGAAGAAAGCATGCGGGTGATGGAACCAAGAATCATCATTGTAGGCATAATGAAGTGAATAGGATGATGATGTGCTACAATTTGTTGTTAAGTTTTTTTAGTGCAATCTTCTCTTCCATCCCCGAAAGCAACAGCGAACGGAATTTAAGCCCACGCTTACCATTTTTTTGCTCTCTTGTCACTTACTGTTCTATGTCTCTATTCTCCACTAACCTCACTCACTGTTTTAGATTTCTAGTTCTCGCTCTATCTAGTTACCAATAGTACACAACAACAGTGCTTCTGTTTTTTTCTTTCTCCCAAATAGATTTAGGATTCAATTTAATAATTTAAAGATGCACAATCATCACTTCAAACAGTTCTCCAACTTACTTGCTCATCATATATTAGTCTACCATTATTATCAATTAACTGGCTTTAGTGGTTTGAGGAAAAAAACAATTCAAATATTTTATACATTTGGGCTTTATGGTGTGTAAAGTTAGTTCTCTTTCTTGTTATCAAAATTTACATATAGGGGGAAATTTAATTAAATTTGAAGTTTGAAGGTTAAGGGGTTTGTTTTGACTATAATAATTGGTTCAAGTGATGCAAGGGAATTGTCAAGCACAAAAATTGCATCGAAACCACGTGATAAAGTTCTTTTCAAAATGACAAAGCAAATTTAGTAAGTGTTCTAGATCATGGTCATTCAAAGGGATTTGGATTCATGAGTCAAAATTCAGCATTCAAACATAACTATTTGAATGATAGTTCCAATAAAATAGAAACATAATCATAAACCAGAGCTAGATGTTGTATTGTTGTTCTGCAGGACAATAATTATTGGCTCTGTAGAGGTAATAGATCATTCTAATTAGAGCTACATTACTAGCACAAGAGGTTAAAAACACAGCATAACTCAGTTAATTTGCAACCAAAAAGTGAAATTGGAAATAAAAGTACCAATCACTTGGGGATTTTGTTTGATATGAGCACACTATAGCTAGTACTGATAATGGCTACTGCATAATGGAAAGGTGAAAACACCTCAGATGATGGAGACAACATTGTCTATTCCTAGGAGAGCAGGCCTTAATTAACAAAAAACTTGACGTGCCCAAAATGTCATCCATATTTGGGGTTAGAATTATAATTATTATTATGCAGAAGATAAAAAAAAAAAAAAAAAAAAAAGAAAGAAATAAAGAAAAAAAAAAAAAAAAAAAAAAAGAAAGAAATAAAGAAAAAAAAAAAAAAAAAAAAAAAGAAAGAAATAAAGAAAAAAAAAAAAAAAAAAAAAAAGAAAGAAATAAAGAAAAAAAAAAAAAAAAAAAAAAAGAAAGAAATAAAGAAAAAAAAAAAAAAAAAAAAAAAAAAAAAAAGGAAAGGGGAAAAAAGAATAAGAAAAAAACAAAAGGAATCAGGCGTGGCATGCAAATAATGAGAATATCCTTGAATGAGGGAGGCCCGTACGTGAAATGAAAAGGCACTCACATCATTTTTATTCTTCATGCAATTTCATGGAGGTAAGTGGCATTATCATTATTTTATCTATTTATCAACTTGATTTCTGTATTTATCAAAGCATGCATGCAACCATATCAGCATCGAAATTGAAAAGGATTCTCTGTATCCTCCGAGTGATCGGTTTTAAAAAGCTTGGGATATAGAAAACAATTGCCGATCTTTAATTTTTAAATGTTTTGGTGACTTGTGTCGCAATACCATGGGATACAGCTGATTCTAACATATTTTTATTTTTTATTGTTTCCTGCTAAACACAGCTTACAAATGCCGTTCAGTTTGCAAATTTTTTTTTCGACCAACCCCAATTCAATTATAATAACTCTCTTCCAATTTGGTCAGACATTAAGTTGATTTGGATCATAATGTTTATCTAGTTTGATGAGGGAGGAACAGTAATTACGAAGTAAAAGGGAGTAATTAGTGCTTTGTGGTCTTTTAGAGGAAGTTTTGCTAGCCCATCTCTGCCTATACCTAAAACTATCTTCCTCATCATGTAAGTGGTCTCCTTAACTTCCAATTTAAGAGTATTGTCAAGATTATGTCAATTATTCAGCATAATCACTACTACAGAAGCCTCCCCTCAATTAGTAGAAAGAGTTATTTAAAAAAAAAAGGAAAATAAAGAAAAAGGTTGCACACTAGAACCAAATGGTTGGAGGGGAATGAATAAACAAAATTTTGCGGTAAAAGGGAGTAGAGAAAGGTTGGGGGAAGGCAATGCAATGATGAAAATTTGTGAGTTCAGAATCAAAATTCAGTTTTGAGAGGTAGAAATGATGCAGAATGTATGGCCTCATGAATAAAATTTATGGGTGTGGCTGGCAGCCTCCATTATGACCACAATCCACCTCTTCTTAATGCACGCGCACCACCAAACTCAAACACTATCTCTTAAGCCCACACTTTCACACTCTCACTCTCACACGCAAGGTAGCCAAACCCAACATACCAACACACACTAACACAAACGCACACGCTTCACAATTTTGCATATACAGTCATTTGCAAATGTATCCATCACGAAAGAAAAGTTGCTGCTGAATCAAATCTTACTTAAAAAGTCTCAAACAAATTCTTAACGAAACAATCCACCTTTTTACATAAAAAGTTTCGGCCAAATATCCTAGACCTCAGGACTTTGGTAATTTGAAGGGACAAAGAAAAGGATATGTCAAAAACAAAAGAGTAGTTAAAAGTTGAGAGTTGAAACCATCCTTAATCTGAAAATTTGACCCCACTAACACTAAAAGTGGTCACACCTTTCTAAAACTCAACAAGCTTGGCTTGAATGCCACATCCTCTTCCACATCACCCCATTCTTTTGCTTACCCCCATCCTACTTCTCATACCTTAGCCCAAATCATGATAATAATACAAACCCAAAACCCATGATTGGTCCCACTAATTGCCCCCCGACAAGCACCATGGATGGTCCCATAGGACTACACATCATCTAGTATGTGTCCAACTTCATGGAACACCGGGGTCCATCTATGTTTCAAGAGTTAATTAGATTTGGGAGACATGTGGTCCCCACCATGCCCTTAAGAGCGAGACAGTGGCATTAGTGGTAAGGTGCAAGCGGGCTTTAGCCGCCATACTTGCTAGCACGCGTAGATTTTGGCACACATGCGGCGAATTGGCTCACAAACACACACAAATGGGTTAGTATATGGTTTCGGAATTTAATTTTTTGAGTGTGCAAAAGCACGACTAATGAGCATAACAGAAGTGCTACTGTATCATGCGCACAAATATTGGCAAAAATGCTTGCCAGGGTGCCCACCATGTTGCAACTCAAAATTCGGAAAGGGTTCCCTTATCATGTTATAATATGACATAGTGCAGACTGAAGAAGCCATGAAAGTTGTTGGATGCTTCATTCATGTTTATCTTTGTATCTAGGCACATTCTTCTCAAGCTTTCGATGAGTCAAGATCATTGGATAGAGCTTCATTAGTATGGTGTGGGTCTGTCTCATAGGTCTTATTCCTTTCCATTGACTTTTCCCTCTTGTATAAAAGAAAAAAAAAACAAAGCATCATGTGCAGTGCAGGATAAACAGGACTTTAATCCCGTGCACTTAGTGGTACAACCTATTGGACGAAAATGAACAAAATAAATCTTTCATGCCCAAAACATATTGCATCCTCTCTATTTTTTATTCTTTTCATCGTGTCCCAGGTGTCAGTGTGACAATTGTTATCAAAGTATCCTTTTGATGATTGTATGAACATGCTTAAGGAAATTTTTTGGGAAAATCAACCATGCAAATATAAAATAAAGAGGCTTCATCCGAAGCTGAGTTGGATTGGTTTCAAACTTTTTTTTATTTAAAGACTTAGAGGAGACCATATAATGGTCCATATTGTATTCAAAAGGGACATTTATGAAAAAAAGAAGGGTAGCAGTAGTAAATAGTAATCTAGAACTACAAAAGATGGCTCCCACAAGAATCATTCCTCATAGGTGTGCTTAAGATTTTTTTTGAAGCAAACAAGACATTTTCTGAAATTTTAAGTGGCCAATCTCATAGGGAAGTCCCACAATAACAAAAACAAATATAGAGAGAGAGACACTGGTCCCTTACCACAAGCCAAGGTGACCAAATTATTGTGGTTCTTTTGTAAGGAATAATAATGTGATACCTCGAGCCCTGCCAATGCCAGGGCTAAATCTATCTCGAAAGATGAACATAACCATACAAATAGAAAGTGAAAGAGAGAGAGAGAGAGGGCACAATACACAGCAATAGCATATGATAAATCCCCCCCTTCCATACACGCCACATCATTCCTCTCGTGCTTTAACCAAACCAAACTTCTCTCATTTTGAATACAAATGCATGTCTTTGTCTATTTTTTTGTTGCAAAATTCGAATCTCTCTTGATTGCTTCACCCCAAGCATCATTCTGCTGCGTGACCCTCACTGCCTTCCCTGTACCCTCTCTCTCTTGCTCTGTCCTTCTTATTGGTTTACTTTCCCGTACAATACAAGTATGCTGTACAGAGGAGTCACACCCAATCATGGCCTCTTTCACATCACCGCACACTCAAATTCATGTGCCAGATATGTTGAGATTTCCCATGTTTTCTTCCATAAAAATATTTATGCAATTTAAGGAAAATTTTATTCCACTTTTGATAACAACCAATTTCAATTAAATTAATATCCAATAAGCAACAGAAGGTTAGGTGGCAACAAGAAGATATAGTGGGCATGTGAGGGATTCACGTGTTGTTGACATGGGACATAGCATCTTATGTTGCCATGACAAAACCACAATCGCAATTGCAGATAAGAGAATTTGTATGGGAAGTGGGTGGAGGAGTTTCGAATGTTGTCATGCTTGTGTTTTGTCTTTGTTATTGGAGATGTAACCGTGTAAGT